TTGTCCGCGTCTTACCGATCCTCCTTCCGCCCTCCTCTTTTTATTCCTTATCTGCCTCATCTCGCTTGCTCGACCGTCAACTCGGGGTACAGTCGCGCAGAAGAGACTTCTATCCGAGTCAGAATGGCTTAGGGAGATTTCTCTTTTATTTACAAGATTAAAAGAAATGTGCGCCTCTATTCTCTCCGTTTTTGAATCTTGACTATGCTTATTAAATTCTACTATATCCCGATTGCATACGGCGATACGTGTTCGTTAATTTAGAAAATATCGCAGAGTCAACTGGGAATTCGTAGGAAATCGATTTACCAATGCGATTATTTAATAGCCGGCCGTGTATTTCCGCGTGACATTTCGCTGTTAATCCGAACGAGACAATCCGCGGGAGATTTAATTAACTTAAAATATGTAGACACGGTCGCTGATGTTTTGTTCCGAGCTAGGAAAGTAAAATGGTTCCGCGCAACCGCTTATTACAATGTTTGCCTACTCCGCGACAATGTTTGGTCAACGACTACGTCTACATTCGTGTTCGCCGCGTTTGCTATTTTAACTGCGTGCCTTTCAGTTTGTGTTAGCGATCCAGATGACATCGATTTTTCCCGTTCTCTTATTTTTGACTTTTAAAATAGAACCGCCGGGGATTGCTTCGGGGCGGACGGTATTTGGCTGAATTCTTGGAACTGCGAGATTAATTAATTTGTTTACGAAATATGGCGGTCCATTAGCTTTTAAATTGTTTCCGACACTGAGGTAGTGATTCATTGAATATTCATGGGAATCTTCTTCTAGTCGAATTTGAATAATAAATAACGTAGATTGATACCGAATAATAGAAAAGTTTAACAACTTACTAATTTACATCTGTTCGACGTAAACTGTAGAACATAGAATCGATATAAGTAGAATGCAGATTTTATGTTCTTAGAATAAATATCAGGAACCCAAGTGGCTGAAATGAACTGAGTGCCAATTAATTTATTATTAAATCAGGATCATCGAGTTTTTGTACAGTAGGAAACGAATTTTATTCAACCGCTTCATAAGGCGCTGTTATCAATTTTATACTTTCCCTGACTTCCCTTATTTCAATGTTTTCTTAAATTGATTACAATTACAATCTTTCTAAATCGTGTATAAAAAGTCTTAACGATTTTGAGAGAATCTCACAATGATATTAATAGAATTGTATTATGGAGGGATTTTAGATTCAATTATAAACAGAATTACAAGATTAGAAACAGAAAACAGAATTATATTTATAAAGATTGCAATACGGAGAGAGTTTATCTAATCTAATTATAGAGAATATAGAATCCTTTATTATGTTCATATATAATTCATATTTCAATGTTTTTTTAAACTGACCACAATTACTATCATTCTACATGAGTTATATATGAATTTATGTCTTATTGACGATTTTAAGAGTATCTGAGAGTGATATTTATAAAGAGATTTTAGATCAAATTACAGAGATTATAGTCTTGTACAATATACATATATAATTTCGTATATTGATCCGACAGGAGGAGATATTTTTAAGATTCATCGGGCAATTCAATTTGCGTTACCAGACACGGTCGTAACAATGATAATAATTAACGAGACATTCGTATAAAGCAGGCAGAGTGTAAGCAATTTTCCGCGCTCTAAATAGTAACCAATAATTGATTTATGGGCGACCCAACAGTTATGTCACGTTTCCTGAATAAACTTCTCTATGTAGTGTATTTGTGTGTTTTCGTATACGAACAGATTGCGCCGCGTCGCACCGGAGAATTCTTAATTAAAGCAATTTTTACAATTTATCACGATTCGTTATTTTCTTTATTTGCCTTGCCACCGGTGAATGCCGCGCATCAATATTCTCAGTATCAATATTTGCGGGCTTCTACTTTAATTATTCTCCCCGCTTCTCGTTATTAAAATAGAACGTATCCCGGTGACAATCGGAAATAAAGATTTTCAATTCAATATTTATGAGTATTTAATTTTTGCGGTTTTTCCCTGTTTATATCATGTTTGCTCACCGGCGGAATTATCGGTATCGAACTTTGATTACGAACTTCCACGCGACGTTACAATGCCAGCTTATTTATTGATTTATACTACTAGAACTTCCAAGAAATTCGAACTAGTTTCAGCGAACTAATACCATATTCACGATCGCACATGCAAGTATTAAGTATCACCTCCTTCTTGAAGAACACGGTACCATGTCTCACAGCCACTCCAGGCAGCAATAAAGCAATTTATCAAATCATTTAAAATCTATCTTTCACAAGTTCAACATCGACAAGAGGCATTATTGAAGGGACCGTTTGCGACGAAGGAAAATGTGAGTATTACATAAGAAAATGCAACCGCGTCTCGAAAGACAGGTTGTAACGATACCACGGTCGAGTACAGGAAACGGAACTAAGAATCAAGGTAAATACAGAGAAAAGTAGATCGGATATTCGTGGTTATGAAAGGCAAATTTCGAATTCCACGGACGCGCTATCCATGATGGCCGCGACCAGCTGCATATGGACACACAGCTATGTACTTAGGTACTATATACGAACCGGGTAGAAATAGGTTTCGACGTAACAGCGTAAGAGAGGCTAAGGTACACCACCGGTGCGGTGGTTCCCTCTCCCGATCAATAGCCCGAGAAGTGTCAGCGGCGACTACCGTTTCTGTCTGGGCATCGATCCCCGCGAATAGCTACCGTGTATATTGTATACGACTACTTATGTGCTTCCTGTCAGATCTTTCGGGTCCCTAAATGTCCGTAGATTCTATAATCGGACGATAGGACGTGACATGCGTCTTCATTTTCGCTAAAACTGAAACTGTTCAGTTTCACGCGGAACAAGATCTACAAGTGTGGAGATAGATATTTATCTATCTCCACACTTTCCTAATCGTAAATCCCTGTGCCGTCTATTTTAGACTATGACGGTTAACCTTTTGACGGCTGGAAGGCTGAAATATGGGGGGGGGGATGACTACTTCATATGATCTGTATTATTAATATAATCATATTATAATGACATGTATCATTGACATAATCATATTATAATGACGTATATCATTGATATAATCACATTATAATGACATGTATTATTGATGTAATCACATTATAATGACATGTATCATTGACGTAATCACATTTATGTAACTTATTACAAGAACTTCTCTACATTAATTATGTTCACGTCAGGCCAGTAATTATACATATTTTGATATGTATGTGTCCAACAAACTTTGATGTAAATGTATGAACCAGATATTATTTTTACTAATAATAAAGTATTTAAGTAACAAAACTGTAAGATTCTATATAAACCCTCCTCTTAAAACTACGAAAATTAAATTGTCTACCTGAAAATAAATTGCAGTACAAGAGACTAATAAAAGACTGAATATACCGGATAATTTAATTCTTGCAGCTGGTTTCTAATATTAAAGAACTTAGATTAGATTTACTAAAGAAAATCTACTATTTAGATTACACGATTAATAAAATTATTATTATATAATAAGAAGTGATATTACAAAAAAAATTCATCGTATCACGTAAACTGTAAGCCGAGCTTTCTTAATTTTAATTCATTTGCATGCAATCGTTATAGGATATAAATGTGCAAATGATATATGAACATCGTGATTCAACATTGGGTTTAAAATCGTTCAATCTGTCCGTGTGTCGCAAACGCGAAAATTATTTTATTCACGAATTACATACGTGTTCGCACCGCTCGACCATGAGACAAGAAAGAGACGGAGAGGGACCGGTTTAATCTTGGTCTAGGATCGTGTCGCTGCGTTTTATCGTTCCTTCCTACTATCCCGAATGCCGCCTTATTCTGTCACCCCTTTCGACCGCCCCTTTTCTACAACCGTTTCCACTTGTCAGACGAACCGTAGCGATTCATTTCATTGCCAACTTTGTCGATCGGAACGCTTCCAGAATTTATTGGCGATTCATCAGAAATGTGCTGATGAACTCGAGTTTTGTTTATTAACCCTCGATAAATCCAAATTGTCGATTTAAAGTATTATTTCAATCGAAAAATCATGTCGAGGGACTACAGAAGAATTTTTTATTTATTTAAATATTTCTTTCATTTAGAGTCAACCTTCTGAGTTACACATTGTCTTATCACGCCACTATGTCTACCCCCAACACTAAATTGATATTTTTAACACTACAATTTCCGATACTCTTTCATCATTTCGAAGTTAATCACGTATTACTCTTCTCGTGAAATATATCAGTATCAGTACCAATGCGTCGCGTATTAAAAAAGAGGATTACAGATACGTGATTTCGGTTCACAGCGACCGAAAGCAACGTTAATTTAATTACTTGATATTCTCTTTTTCGCGAACCAATAATCCGGTGTATCGCAATATTCGATAACGAACCGAAGTTTCATTACTCCGGCCGCGTAGCGAGAAGTACTTTAATCTTGCCGCGGCTCTATTAACTACGCCGCTCTCGATAATCGGGCGAAATTGAATTGTCTCGCGGCGTTTATTTTTAATCATACCACCAGACCGGCGCGCGTTCTTCGCGGGAATAATCCACTAATGACCACTTAATCGCGTTCCCGCAATCCTTCAGCACGTTCCCGCGTTGCCATACGCGAATGCCCGACTATTGACTATTCACCGTGATGTAAAGGAAAAATCAACGAGACCAATACTGTTAAATAGGCTGTGTTACACATTAAAATCGTTTTAACATGTTTTATATTTAAACTTCGATAGAAGCAGTCGCGTTCTAATTTGATATCCTCAATAAATTATTTTTACATTATATACTTCATTGGGTTCTTACCCGTAAATAAAGCGCTATTATTATCATTATTATTATTTATACGTTTTCTCAGGGTTTTCGTATATGCTTATATAAGGAGGGCAGACATAAGGTTGTATGGACGAACCGGATTATCCCAAAGACAGGCTCGCAAGAGTATGAAAGAAATAGCGAATTGAACGCTTACCTCTATGACTTCCGGTGATCTTGTCCCGCAAGATGTTTATCTGGTGCACCCGACCGAACTCTTCGAACAACTTCCTTAGATCGTTCTCGTCCATGTCGTGGGGCACCTGGCCGACGAACATTTTTATGTTGTCGGGATCCGGCTGCTCCACACTATTGTTGTTCATTATGCTGAAACGGAAAAAGGACTTTTATAAATAACAGTTCCATGAAATTTTAATCAAATCTCTCCAGAATAAGAGAATCATGATTTTAACGTGTACTCGTTGGAGATTATATGTTACATTGCAGATTATACATGAAATTATGTATATGTTATTTCATTCATAGATTAATGGACGAGTACTTTGTGTTTTATTATCTAGAAGAAAATTCCTAATGTTGCTTATGAGGTAATGCAAGAATAATTCTTAATATTGCTTTTTGAGGCTCACGATTTTAAACAGAAAAAAAGACACAAGTTGTATAGAATTTAAAATAACTTTGAATAGAACTTTAAATAAAATATTACACTTTATGACTATGAATAACTTTTCGAGGTGAGTTCAAATATGTATATTCCACCAAGCATAAAATGCTATACGAGAGGTGGGACAGATTTTAACTCAGCTAACTCCAAACAAAAAGTGAAATAGCTTTTAAACCACTTAGCTCCAAAGAGATACATAGCTCAAACAGATCAGAGTATTCAGCAATATTTATAAAATATTAATATCAGCAAATATACTTTGAAACCATTAGAATTCTTGCTGCAGTTTCAGTTTAATCAATATGTATGTGCTCAAGTATGAATACATAATAAAGGTACACATGTATAATTCATATAAAAGTCATTTAGTTCTGAAGTCAATTATATTGTTATTTTGAAATTTGGTGCAATGAATAATATTTTTTAACAATATAAATATTAACTGAAAAATATAATTCTCTCTGGAAGTATAAACACCTGTTTTGCAGTCCTTCCATTTAACGATATCGATATTACACACGAGTGGAGCACCCTCACCGAAGCATGATACTTATGAAGTCGACGGATTAACAAACATTTTCATCTAGTGAAGTGCACTCGAAATCGGTCTGTACGATATTCGTTTTTGAGAGCACCTCGCGCTCACATACCGATCTCATTAAGGGAACGATAAAACCGCTTAAGCGTTCGATTCGAACGTACCAGCACGGGAGTGGAAAAAGTGAAGGAGATCCACGTGTGTATGTATGTTTCTCGCATCGCGTTCTCACTTGTACTAAATACGAGACAAACTCGAGGCTATATCTGTAACAGAATCGTTTCTGACAACCATCGAGAGCGTTCGATTGCCTTCGATGTCTTGAAACATTTTTATTTAAATTATTGCTACTCGCATGTGAAACTGAACGCTCTTCCGTAAGTATAGCATCAAATTTAGCAAGGGTCTGATCATACTCGACGATGAAAAACGTAGTTAGTGGCTTGAAACAGTATTTCAACGTACGTCCCCGGAAAAGGTCGCGTTACGTTTAATTAGTTCGTAGGTAGACACGTTTGGCCGTCGCAGAGTTACGCAAACGCTTCCAAAACTTGGACGCCTACCTTTCGCCGGGCCGTGCGGTTAATTTCATTCGAATTACACGCGTTTCAAAACATTCCCGCGGGACGATCCCCGTTCCTATGCGAATACCGAGTCCAGTCCGAGCAGATTATCTCGTCGTCCTGTTTTGTAGACGCGTTCTCATAATTTTCCGGCTGGCATGTAATTCCAGTCGTTTTACGCTTGGGATCAAGTCACATGGAAACGACGTTTCAATAATTTTTTTAGCATGGGTCTTCAAGCGGAAAAGTTACAAGGGAATACGTAAACAAAGTAATTTATGTAACATATCGTTCTATGTAATGTTATGTACATTCTGTGTACGAATGATTAAGTTAGCTTTAAAAAAAGAATTTTCATGGTCTCATTATTCTAACAATATATAATATAAGGTATAATTTAGAAAATTGTTAAGGAATAAGTTAGTTAGTATTCGGCGTACATTAGAAACTTGAAATGGAAGAAACTAATTAATACAAAGTGTGAATTAGAAAATTTAAAAGGAATAAATTAAATTTTAATTCCTTTAGAAAGTGTAGTTTTTTAGAATGCGTGAAGCTTGGAATCATTGACTAGTAAAAGCTTTCTAGGAGCACCTATTGATAAATATTTAATCTTCGCTTTACTGAAATTGATGAAAATTTCTATTAATATTTATATCAATAATAATAAAATTATTTGATTATTCAGGATTGTATAAAAATAGTCATTTATAAATTACTTGGATTAAACAAATGCTATCGTATTCTACAGAAACATTATATTTGAAGGAAACAACGACGTCTTATATGCATTAATGTACATCCATGTGACTTCCATATTTAATAATAAAAGAAAATGTCTATTGGTTAGAACATATTGCCTGAAACAATATTTGCAGGAAGCAGAACATTTTAAGATTTCCGGGTGTTTGGACACAATGGATGCTTGTACGAAGTTCGCTTTTGGGAAGAGCAATTCGTTCGCGTCGCCATGACACCGGACAAACTCTTTCCTGAGCCGGTAGACGTAGCCCGTCCCGGTCAGGTTTTCTTGTACCCGGGTTGCCAGTCATAAATCCGCGAACTTTAAATGTCATCGTCGCTCGGCCGCGAACGGGCAAAAGGGAAAACTTCGCGACGCCGTTGTCGCTTTGCCGTTCCTCGCGCTTCGCGACGCTACCTAAGTGCATAATAATTAATGAGACCGAAGTTGGAACGGTACCGCGTTCATAATTTTGTTTCGTACTCGTGTCCATTATCCGGCATCGTCAGTATCGAAGCAACAGTAATTTTGTGTGTTTTAGCGGTTTCGCCCAATGACCAAATCACGCTGCGGTTATTACGATCGAAATGAAACAATTTCCACTTGTGTAACAGTCCGAGTTTCGAGGAATCATTGCTGAAAAGATTGATCGAAGTAGGACAGAAAAATAAAAGACCACCTTGAAACTTGCATGAATTTATTTTTTTTTTATGCAGGGATTATATGTCTATTTTTTTTATTAATAACAATAATTAAATAATCAGAGAAAGTAAAATATGTAACGTCTGTGAAATTTCATAATTGTTTTATAAGGGTACGGGATATTAGTAGGGATTAATTTGAACCCTCTTCCATCATTCTAAGGAGCTTGCGAAAAGGCCTGGACAAGGGGCAGAGTCCCTATTTGATTCGCTACGCGACGAGGGATACCTACGGGAAAGAGTTCGGGAATTTTGCGAAACGATAGGAGAAAGTTAATATTAGTCGGGGAGGAGGTTTAAAGCGATTTTCCGGCCGGCCGACTCCTCTCATCTGGATCTACTATATAACGCGCCGCGGAAGATGAAGTCAAAGAGGAAAGAGCAACCGTTACAATGCTACTGGGGCTCCCTTGGTAGACGCACCCCTAAACGGTGAAGTTTGGTTATCCTCTTTTGAAATCGGTGAGTAGGTTAATTAATCAGAGATCGAGGAGTAGGTTAAATAAACGAAACAGAACCACGAATTGAAGAGTTCGACCTGAAAACGGAGCAAGGCAATTTAACTAAACACAACGCAATGTATCGAGGATGCTAAAGAAAAACTAATCTATTCGAAAGAGAAATACACAAATAGTAGAATTATTTATTTACTTATTTTACGGATTGAAAACCCTTTAATATAATTGAGAAAGTAAAGCGAGTAGAAAAGTTATATTTGTATCTACATGATGTTGCTAGATAGATAAAAGATAAGAAAAGCAATAAATATAGAAGATAGTTGGCATATCTTAGCTTACATCTAATAATATCGTTGGAATCATTAAATATATCAATTACGTGACTGAGTTTGCTAGCCTTAGAAGCAGCCCTAGTAGTAACACTCAAATGCCCAAACCTCGAGGTGAATTTATCAAGATAATTATGATAATTACAAATAGGAGATTTTGAATCCGTGTCATAATTAAATTGATCAATATTTGAAAATAATTCTCCCAGTTGAGATTGACAATAATGTCCGGCTGGAGAAGTTTCGCGGTTTAAATTGTAACGATATTCTCCAATTAGGAAAATTTGTTACAATCTAAAATTTCACCTCGGTATAACTCACGAGTTTAATTATTATTGTGAGTATATTAAATGACTTTTCTGCAAAATGAATTGGGATAGTTACTGTGTTTCGCAATAGAAAGTTCCCAGTTAATATTATCATTAATTTCGTAATTTGGAACGATATTCGACGTTAACATTAGCCAGTGAATTAGGGAACAATTTATTACTTATCCCAAATTTACGAGTGTACAACAACAGAGCGGAAACCTACATAATTAATCACTTCAGTAGATACAAATTCTGATTTCAAATAAAGATTGTCGTGGTTGTGTAATATAAACATAATTACTGTAATTACTGAATGTATTTTTGCGAATACGTACATAGGAAATATAATCCCAGGGCTGTAAACATATACATCATGTCTAAGAATTTAAAAATCATTGAAGTAATTCCTATTCGAATAATTAATTATCGATTCATCTATTAATGATTATCTATACTTCTTACAATTAGTTTAGTTATTATCCATAATGATAATCCGATATTAGTTTCAACTACAACTATTCTGAAATTAATGATTTGGAAAACACAGTATCATAGTAGAAGCCCACATTACTGCTACCATAAACGATAATATCATTATCCATTTGCACGTGCTTTTACATCACTATTCAATTGGACAAAGACGATGGCAACAGGACTGTTATTGCATGAATTAGAGCGCTTTGTTATTCATGAAGTATACGAAAGGTTGAACAGTGTTTCTATTATTACATAATCCGTCTGCATATTTCTTCTCACAGCTCCATTAAAATGCGAGTACGTCCTCCGTATGCATAAATCCTTTCCCAAAAAAATCGCAATTTAATTTGTACTTTCCCCGTTCGAAATTAGCCCTTTGAGTCAAAACCAAAATGTAAATCTCTCAATTAAAAACTGACATTATTTCCTATTTACTGAAAATCGCGCACATTCTTAAAACAATAAAGAGTAAAATATATAAAATCTTCATAAGAAATTGAATTGATTGATAGTTCCGGTATTAACGCAGACAATCAGAGTGCATCCATTCTAATGATCACAATGAACTAAAATCGTGTCA